TGAAGACTGGTCCTCACATTTCTTTATTAGATCTCAGCCCTAGCACAGGGCCTCCTTTTGGGGCAGACAGAATGGCCTCATCCCCCTCTCTGCAGACACTAGCCTGATGTCTGGATGCCCTGTCTTGCTGCAGACTTGTTTGGTGCTTGGGGAAAATCAATTCCCACCTCTTTGGGCCTCCTCCTCTACAGCCTGGAAACCTGGTTCCATCTTTACTCTCTTCTTCAGCCTGGTGGTGGTTAGACTTAGTTCCTCCCACACACTGTGCATACGCTCTTCCACTGAGTTACTCCCTCTACTGTGTGTCTCTAAAAAGATGGCTCTCTCCAGCTAAGCAATGGGTTAAACCTCCTAAGTAGCATCTTAGATAATTTTAGGTCAGCTTTTCTCACAGGGCTGACATATAAATGACTATTAATAAATATATAACTGGATAGGGATAAACCTGAGGAAGCCAACCATTTTCACCGAATTTTAGAGAGTAATATAATTAGAAACAACTACAGTTTCTGAAAACTTTAAAACTTCTGAAACCCCAGAAACTTTCTATATTTTGCCCAAAATATAAGCTCTTACTCCATTATTTCTGAGTTATGTTTCCTAGGGCTGCAAAATGATGGCATCCTAAGGGGAGCAGAAGAGGTCAAACCAGGGATGGTATGTACGAAGCTGACTGTAAGACGGCAGGCCAATCACAGTCTCTGTAGCCCTAGTATCACCACACGCTGACAACTGTTTATGATACTGGGGATTGAACCCAGGGCTTTGTGCATGCTAAGCACATGCTATGCCACTGGGCTACACCCCAGCCCCACCTCGGATGTGCTGGGAATTGAAAACGATGTCAATCATAACAATCTTCCGCTCCTTTTCCCAATTGAGCAGGGCACTAGTGACTCTTGGGTTTTCATTGTCATCGCGGCGACCCCTGTGACCCGTGCAGCTTCATCAGTGTGTGTGAGAGAGAAGACTAGAAAAATTACAGACGACTGAAAACTACATCACCCGCCTCCTTGGCCTGATTGACAATGTTCTTAAGATAATACAGAGAGGGTAAAAGAATTACACGTGTATCTGGTTATAGTTTAAATTCCCTTTCTCCTAGGAGCACTCATCAACAAAATAGAATATTTCCAGTCACTTCTACAGTGTCTGCCTCTGAGCAAGTCCACTCCGACGCAGCTCTGGATAAAGATAATAGCAAGCATCTCTAGTTTCCCTGCAGAAATGCCAAAAAAAAAACAAAAAAAAAAAAACGGACCCCGACAAGGACAGGGAGGATCAGGGATAAAGCCTCAAGTTCTGGAAGCGGATAAAGCGGGAGTAAAGGACTTAGATGAAGACTATCCCATTGGAGGAAGCTGGGAGTGGTATGCTTTCTGCTGAAGTCCTCACGGTCTTGGGAGTGAAGACACCAGGCAGCCCTGAAACCAAGGGAGGAGTGACTTGCTACCTAAAGAGGACAGCAAGCTGGTGGAGAAGAGGTTAGGGCTGAGATTAGCCCTGCCCCACAGCCACAGAAGTCAAATCTACTCAGGGAGGCAGAACAAAGAGTCCTTGGGCTGGGGTCATCAGGCAGAGCTGGAGAAGTGGCTACTGTCAGAGAAGGTGACTGACCAGAGTACTCACACCCCACAGAAGGAGGTGGTAGATCCCACCCTCCCCTCTTGTCAAACGGGACTCTGTCTCTCTGTCTCTCTGTCTCTCTCTCTTTCTGTGTGTATGGGGCGGGGGCGGGAGGAGACACTGAAAGCCATTGATTTGCCAGCCCAATGACAAAAGCTGAAGTAAAGCTATTTAAGATGCCACTTAGGTTTTAACCTGTTGCTTAGCTGAAGAAAGAGGCATCTTTTTAGAAACACACACTATAGCACTGTAGGTCAGTGGAACCACACAGACCTGACTATGAAAAATCAAAGACTTAGACTCAGGGACTCGGAAGACAAATTCTATGAGGGGCATTCCTGTCATCCCACAGTGGGGTCCTCAGCCCACACACCTGACAGCATTCTCAGGGGTCCCAGTTTGGAGCTTCATCCCAATTCTGAATCTGGAGTGGGCCAATACTGTTTGCACACCTCTGACAAGTGTCTAATGTCTGTCACTGAAAAGAAGAGAAGCAACTTGGAGCCCATCAGATGCTACAGGGAGAAAATAACCTCTAAAATCTATTCGAGCATAAGAAAGATAAACAAACTACCAGGTTTTCAAATAACTGGAGAGGCGGCCCAGCAGTAAAGAGCACTTGCTCTTGCAGAGGACCTGGATTCGAGTCCTAACACCGACATGGTAGTTCACTATCATCTGTAATTCCAGTTCCAGGGATGTAAAATCCTTTCTGATCTCTGAGGACACCAAGCAGACACATGGCATGCATACATACATGTAGGCAAAACACTCACATATAAAACTTTTAAAAATAAATAATTTTTTTTGGATGGGAAATAGAGCTTGGTGGTACAGTGCAGCAAACACCTTTAATCCCAGCGCTCAGAAGGCAGAGGTAGGCAGATCTCTGAGTTTGAGACAAGTCTGGTCTACACAGCAAGCTCCAGGCCAGTCAAGGCTACATAGCAAAACCTTGTCTCAAAAAACCAAAACAGGGCTGGAGAGATGGCTCAGCGGTTAAGAGCATTGCCTGCTCTTCCAAAGGTCCTGAGTTCAATTCCCAGCAACCACATGGTGGCTTACAACCATCTGTAATGAGGTCTGGTGCCCTCTTCTGGCCTGTATACACACAGACAGAATATTGTATACATCATGAATAAATAAATACATTTAAAAAAAAACAAAACAAAGAAAAGAAAGAACTAATAACTATTTGATATTTTACTGATAAATAAAAACAAAATTGTATACATTAATAAGGTCCCACGTGTTTCGATACCTTAAGCACTGGGTAGGTGTTTAAATCAGGAAAAACACACCTTTGGCACAGATGAGAGAAGCATAACTGTGTGTTTCAGAATGCTCTGCATCTGCACTGATTGCCGTCCACTGAAGATGAAACTTTCCTGATGAGGCTTGAGCGCAGTGCTGGGCGCTCAAGTCTAAATGGGGCATCACATCCCTCCCCAAAACTGAAGGATCTTCAAGGAAGAAAGCAGAAAGATTGTAAGAGACGGAGGTAGTGAATGCCTACAGTGAAACCGTATTTGCTGGCCATGGCCATGACAGGGGCCTCGCACACACGAGCTCACATCAGCTGTGGCCATGACAGGGGCCTTGCACACACGAGCTCACATCAGCTGTGGCCATGACAGGGGCCTCGCACACACGAGCTCACATCAGCTGTGGCCATGACAGGGGCCTTGCATACATGAGCTCACATCAGCTGTGGCCATGACAGGGGCCTCGCACACACGAGCTCACATCAGCTGTGGAGATGACAGGGGCCTTGCATACACGAACTCATATCAGCTGCGGCTGTACGTACAACACCTGCACAACATCCAACCAGTACCAACTGTGGTGACCCATATTCCTAGCAGACGCAGAGAGCAATCACAACAGGCAAATTTTGAGGAGCTTTGGGGGCGGGGATAGAGAAATTTGGCTCCTGAGAGAAACAGGGTGCTTTTCTGAGAGTTAAGAAAAATTTACGCGCCTTACCTCCAGGCGATGTGATGGGGTCCTATCTGAACAGAGGTGGAGGGGGCAGTTCCCTATCTTGAGGTAGTAAGTCAGGACCCTTAGAATTGAGTTGTTTGAACAAGGCATCGCAAACCAGCAGATCTAAAACCAGCAGGCTCTAAACTGTCAAATCTCTAAGCTGAGGTTGGGGGGCAGGGAATGCTGTTTACTTTTGTCCCTTTTGACTCTGTAGACATGATGTGACAAGAGGGGACACAGGTCAAGTGGCCAGACCATCAAACCCATTACTCCAGATTTGTACCCACCCACCATCTTGGGCCACCCACACTGTGAGGCTGTGGACTCTACCTGAACTTCCATATGCACAGGCAGTTGTAGCTCCTCCAAGCTGCAGGACTCATGACCTGGGTGGCCTTTATTAGTCGTAACCACGTGTCCAATCCACTTTTCCAAGCAAAGGCAATTTCCATCAGCAGCACAAGGCCGGCAGTCCCACCCACACCTGGTCTCTGTCAGAATCATTGCTCAGTTTACCCCTCCAAAACACAAGGTCATGAAAATAAACTCCTGGCTTGCTCAGACACCAACAGAGGCTGCCACAAAACCCACCCTAAAGGAGGAGAGCCCCTAATAGGTGACGGGGTCAGAGACTGTCCCCTGAAGTAGCAAAGAGACTCCCTTTGGCCAGGTGATGCTGCTGGAATTTCAAGTTCCCAAATACAATCAGTTCAGGTGCCTTCTGGGCTTGCCCTCTCCCCAGGGGCTTGCCCTTCATTACCACTGCAGGGTGTGCACCATGGGTCTGTTCCAACCTCATTGGGACTCTCAGGCTCCAAATGGGAGAGGGACTAAGATGGTGAGAAGGGCACGGCAGTGACGCAGCTCTTACCGCAGCGTTGAGCGAGGGCTGGCCTGCTTCCAAAGAAAACTGTGGAATCAGTAGCTTTGGTTTTTGGTTATCCCCACCCTCACCTTTCTGCTTCTCTTCACTTCCTGCCACGCCTCTTCCAGCATTCCGTGTTCCTTCACTACGTCAAGATTTGCTCAATGAGAATGAGCCGTCTAATTGAAATACCAGTCCCGGCTGGGTGTGGTGATGCATACCTGTAATCCCAGCGCCAGAGAGGCTGAGGCAGGGGAACCAGAAGACTGGCCTGGGCTACAGAGCAAGATGGTCTCAAAACTCAATGGTGGGGCTATACAGCGGCTGAGCATGCCCTAGCAGACACGATGTCCTGGGGGTCACTCCCCCCCCCCCCCCCCCCCCCTGGAGAACAACATTCCCAGGAGCAAAGTGGCGGAAGTGATCATTTTTATTCCTTTTCTAATGGCTATACTAACGAGGTACTTAAAGACCTATTTGCTTGGAAAGGAGATATATGTATACATTCTTTTGAGAACTCCATATGTGTATACTGACTTAGTTAAGGTTCCTGTTGCTGCAGTGAAACACCATGCCTAAAAAGCAAGTTAGGGAACAAAGAGTTTATTTGGCTTGTATTTCCACAGCACTGTTCATCACAGAAGGAAGTCCAGACAGGAACTCAAACAGAGCAGGAACTGATGCAAAAGCCATGGAGGGGTGCTGCTTACCAGCTTGCTCCACATGGCTTGCTCAGTCTGCTTTCTTACTGAAGTCAGGATCAGGAATGGCACCACCCACAAAGGGCTGTGCCCTCCCCTATCAATCACTAATTAAGAAAATGCCCTACAGCCTTGCCTACAGCCCAATCTTATGGAGATGTTTTCTTAGTCGAAGTTCCCTCCTCTCAGAGGACTTTATCTTGAGTCAAGTTGACACAAAACTACCCAGCACATATACAACTCCTGCCTTCACCTCCCAAATGCTAGTATTACAGGTACATACCACCATGCCTGGCTTACCCGGTGAGAGAGCAAACCCAGGACTTCCTGCAAACGAAGCAAGATCTCCACCAATCAAGCTACATCCCCACCTAGCTCACACTTCATTTTGGAAGTGACGCTGCATGGAAAAATTGTATCAGATTCCTAGACTTCTTTAGACACATCAACATTAGCAGAGTTTCCCAAGCGTCAATTCTTGAACTTTCCCAGGCATCACCTTTGGCCCACACTGTCCTCATTTTAGAGGAAGGCCTGAGTTCATCCTGCTCACTACCTGATGGACTCTTAACCACATGGCCAATTTCATTATGGAGAAGAGCTATGACCAGATGAGAAATGATGCCCCCTTGCTACGAGCCACAGCAACCAGGCAGCTACTTAGGTTTCCATTACAGTAATGTCTTCCCTCTTTGACAGAACTCAGTATGCTGCTTTAGTAAAAACCACTTAGAAAATTTAAAAGGCAGAATATATGCTGTAAAATATATATATATGTATATGTATATGTGTGTATATATATATAAAAGGCTAGAACAGATTGTGGGCTAGAAACTGGGTTTTCTTTTTTACTTGGAGAGAGGAGAGGACTGAGGGTCTATGTAGCCCTACAATTTTCTATGTAGATCAGACTGTCCTCAAACTCATAGAGATCCTCCCAGCCCCTGCCCACCAAGTGCTGGGATTAAAGGTTTGCACCACTGAACCAGGAAAAACTTGAGTTTTCTTTTTTTGTCTTTTTTTTTTTCCACCCAAGACAGAGTTTCTTTGTGGAGCATTGGCTGTCCTGGAACTCACTCTGTAGACCAGGCTGCCTTCCAACTCAAAGATCTGCCTGCCTCTGCCTCCTGAGTGCTGGGATTAAAGGCGTGAGCCACCACCACCTGGCTGGACAAGGCCAAGCATACATCTATAGTATACCTAATTAGGAATTTGAGGTGGAAACATTATTTGAGCTCAAGAGTTCAGGAATAACCTGGGAAACAGTGAAACATCATCTCTTCAAAAGAAAAAAAAATCATGGAGATGGTTCAGCTGGTCAAGTACATAAACACCCAAGTTCAGATCCCCAGAGAGCTCATAAAAAGATGGGTACAGCAGCACCCCTGTAGCTCCAGTGCCAGGGTCAAGATGGTGTGGAAGACAGCACATTGGCCAACCAGGCTAGTAGAATCAGTGAGCTTAGGATTTGATGAGAGACCACCATGCCTCCAAAATGAGGGGAAAAGCCACTGAGGGAGACATCCAATGTTGACCTCCAGTCTCTACCCACCCACCCTTATAAGCATACACATATGTTCCTAAGCACAGAGGGAAAAAAAATCTAAGACGTTTCAGTTAAACCACGACTTCCTACTATCTGTATCAATATTACTGACTGAAAATGAAATGAATGTTCTATACATTTTATAGTATCTCGATGCATGGTTTTAACTATGCAATTCTGATATGGTCACCATTTTTCAAGTCTAAAAAGATTCTGTTAGCCTTTATTCTAAATGGAACTGTGCCTATTAGGAATAGGTGAGAATAACCCACATTGTAGTATGTGAATGTGTACACACAGTTCCAATGTGTGGGTGTAAGCATGAGTGTGGAGGCTCAAGGGAAGTCTGAAGCCATCTTCATTTGCTCTCTACCTTATTGACTGAGGCAGGGTCTCTCAACTGAATCCAGGGCTCACTGCTAACTGTTAGGCTAGCTAGTCAGCTTCTCTGTGGACCCCTGTCTGTCTTAGGTAAAAGTTTCTATTGCTGTGATAAAATACCACAGGTATAAGCAACTTGGGGAGGAAAGGGTTTATTTCTGTGTACACTTCCACAGCATATTCCATCACAGAAGAAAGTCAGAGCAGGAACCCAGAGGCAATAACTGAAGCAAAGGCCATGGAGGAATGCTGCTTACTGGCTTGCTCCTCATGGTTTGCTTAGACTTTCTTATCAATCCCAGGTTCTGCTGACCAGGGGTGGCACCACCAAATGGCCTAGCCCTTATACATTAATCACTAATTAAGAAAATTCCGCACAGATTTACCTACACACCCATCTTATGGAGGTGTTTTCTCTTTGAAGATTCCTTCTTCCTGGATTTGTCTAGTTTTATGTCAAGTTGACAGAAACCAACCAGTACAATGGACCCCTTGTCAACTTGACACACAAACCAGTAACTTACGTCATAAACTTTCCTTTCTTGTTCATTCCTAAATTTTCATATTAATATCAATATCACAATATAAAACATTCCAAATTTTAAAAGCTCCAGTCTTTAAAAATTAAATGCTTTAAAAGCTTAATCTCTTTAAAATATTCTCTTTGACGCTTGAACATCTCTGTCAAAGTTCAGAACCTCTTTAAAATATCTAGTTTCTCAACTGTGGGTGCCTATAAAGTAAAACACAAGTTAAATACTTATTTCAAAAACAAGCCAGGGCATAGTTACAATCAGATCAAAGCAAACCCTGAGCCCAACAGTGTAAATAGCTCAATGTCGGACATCTGGAACCTACTCACAGTCATCCACAGCACGCACAGCTTGTCCAGGCTCAGGACAGCTCTACTCCACACCACCACACGGTGAGCATCTGACAGTGCTCCAACACGTGGGGAATTTCTGCTGCAATTGTAACCTCATACAGCTTGTAAGTCCATCATCCAGGAAAGTCAAGGCAAGACTCGAGGGAGGAACTGGAGCAGAGGCCATGGAAGAATGATACTGACTTGCTCCTCGTGGCTTGCTCAGCCTGCTTTCTCATAGAACTCAGGGCACCTGCCTAGAGGTGGCACCACCCACTGTGAGTTGGGCCCCCTAATACCAATCATCAATCAGGAGAATGCCCTACAGGCTTGCCCACAGGCCAATCTGGTGGGGGCACATTTACAAAGAGAATTTTCCTCTTCCCAAATGACGCTAGTCGTGTGACGTTGGCATAAACTAGCTCACGGTTTCCTCCTTCCATGTCTGAGGTTATAGGTGTGTCACCACACACCTGACATTTTTGTAGGCTCTGGAGACTCCAGTTCCTATCCTCATGTTTTCGTGACAACCAATTCGTCCACTAAACCATCTCCCCTGCACGCTTCACCTCTTTTTGTTTTTATAAACATTCATGGTGTTAACTTGCCTGTATTACATTTCCCTTAATCCCGTCGTGTAATAGATGCCATCATTGGCAAAAACCCGGACATCCTAACCTCACAAACACAAACTTCCAAACAAACAGTCCTGACATGTCCACCACACGTTCAGTGTGTGATTTCCTGAAGCATCGTCCTCACAATTGAAACCTCAAAAATAATTAAATAGAAATGTATTTAGTGAGTGGAATGAAAATTTTCTTGTGGATTTTTTTGTTTCTAAAACAAGAAATTAAAAAGACACACCATTCTTGGAGGAGGAATGAAAGGAAGCTTGGAGCTACGTTCTTTTTTTAAATAATTTTTTTGAGGTTTTATTTTTATTTTATGTGTATGAGTGTCTGACTATCTGTGTACCGTACATATGCAGTTCCTGGAGGTCAGAAGAGGACATTGAATCCTCTGGAACTAGTCACAGATGGTTGTGAGCCACTTGCAGATGCTGGGAATTGAACCCTGGTCCTCTGGAAGAGCCGACAGTGCTCAGAATCATTGAGCACTTCTAGTCTGTCTTCCCTAACAACTTTTGGCAGAAGAATCTGAGCAAATCACCAGGCTAACAAAGTACTCCAGAAGACACAGAGAACAATGTGAGTTCCCCAAATTGGAAATGCTCCAAAATCTGAGTTTTTTCACAATAACATGATGAAAAATTTCCAATTTTGAATCAGGATGTTCAACCAGTCTATGCAAAAATGGAAATCAAAAAAACTTACATTTCTGATCCAAAGTATTTTAAATAACAGATACTCAATCTTTACTTCATGTCTTCTTGTTTGTTAAGAAGCCCTATTTTCTTTCATATATTGTACATATAGCCTGCCTGTATCTAAAAAGCTATTAAACAGCGCAGCCTCTAAGCCGTTCTCCATTCAGCCCTGGTTTGACAGCTAAGGAGGGAAACAAGGCCCAGCAAGATGAAGAATCAGCAAGTGAACAGCACATTGCACAGAGTCTATGGCCCTTCATGGGTGTTTCTGTAAACATCTTATGAAGTGTGCATTATCTCCAAGGGAAAAACCCACTTCTGCTGTTGTGGTTTTGAGACACAGTCTGATCTTGGCTAACCACCAACATGTGTGGCTGCCCTGCCTCTGTCCCAAGTGCTGTGATTGAGGTGTGCTCTACCACACCTTGATGAGTTACGACTTCTACAAAATATATACTGAGGAACAACTGTCAGGGGTTCTAGGCAGGGACTAATTTAGAAGCTGAGCTTCCAAATGAGCCAGTGAGTCTTTTTTTAATTATTATTAATTTATTATGTATACAGTGTTCTGTCTGCAGGCCAGAAGAGGGAACCAGATCGAATTACAGATGGTTTTGAGCCACCATATGGTTGCTGGAAAGTGAACTCAGGACCTCTGGAAGAGCAGCCAGTGCTCTTAACCTCTGAGCCATCTCTCCAGCCCCCAGGGCTGTGAGTCTTTAGGGGAAAGTAAAGTGATACACATGGCTACTTCTGTGCCCCCTGTGAGTACCCTTCTTCCAGTCAGTGCATCGGCTGCCAATAATGCAGGTTAAATATCAGCACTCAGTAACATGTCTCCCTCTAGTGGAACAAAAGGACAATTAACAGCATTCCCAGAGCATGGTAAAGGCTGCCTAATGACTCATGGACTAGCAAACCTGACTTATGTTGGCCTGCACTTTAAATCCATTTATTTTAGTCCTAATAAACAAGAAGTGATTTCAACCTGGCCCTCTGGTGTTTAAAACAGTCTTTTCAAAAACACTGATCTGGTCTTTGTGAGTTTGAGTCCAGCCAGGACAACACAGTGGGACTCTGTCTCGGGAACAAAAACAAAACAAAACAAAAAAGTCACATCAGATAGATTTTAAAATAATTATAAGCTGGAGATAATCTGAGTTCGTGCTTGCACAGCCTGTGGGGAGCCCTGGGTTTAATCCCAACGCTGTATACAACAGGATGTCAGAACATGGTCCAAGAATGGAGTCATGTGAGGTTTCTGAAAGCTTGTGAAAAAACTCCAAGAAACAAGAGTCTGTGACCTCAGTTTCTTCCAAACACGGCATTGGTCTTGCACTGGGCTTTCGAGAGTCCCTCCAGGTGCAGCAGACAGGAGCGTGTGCTATGAGATTCCTTGCCACAGCTGGCCACTGCTACTTGGTCCTAGGCCTATGGAAACATGTTTGTGATTGGACGCTTTACTCACGTGACTCCTCTTTTCCGGGCTCCACTCTCCTAGTCTGCAGACATCAGGGTGTGGTACCACACTTCCACTCCCAGCACTTGGGAAAGAAACAAAAGCAGAAGGGTCAGAAGTTAAGACCATTCCTGATTACACGGGAGCTAGAAGCCAGCCTGGGCTCCATGAAGCACTGCAAACGAGTGCATTTTAGATGACATTTTAGCGATCATTCGGTCCAAGTCCCACAACTGACACATGAGGACTTCTTCCCCAAAGAGAAGTGACTCCCCAGTGTCACAAGGTTATCAGAACAAGTAAGGGAGCTAAAGACTAGTTGGCACCCCACCCCTCAGAAAGCCTTGCCCATGTTCCATGCCAAAACATCAGAATATGGACTGGGCTGCCCCATTCCCATCTACTTTTGCACTGGGATTAAGTGAACTAACCTTTTAGGTTGAGCACTTTCCATGGTATCCAGATGGCCTTATTGCAAGTCTGAAGGGTGTACACTGATCACACCAATTCCTAATTTCCATCTTCATGAGCAAGAGGTGTGTGTGTGATTACACCAATTTCTAATTTCCATCTTTATGTGCAAGAGGCATGTGTGATATCCTCATATTTGCTTTGTTAACAGAATAACATTATTTAAACACCTATTGGGTTAACTATATCTCAGCACAGGACAGGTGCCGAGATACAAAATAACAAAGACAAATCCCTGCCCTTGTGAATTTACAGTCTGGTCTGAGGCTATATATGTAAGTAAATTCAATATGCAAGTTACTTTGTCATTGGGAGTTACAGAAAAATAATGAATGATAAAGTTTGCAGGCTCTCGAGGACACAGAAAACAGTACGAAACCAAGTGAATAGGGAGGGCCTCACTGAGTTAGTGACTACATAGCCCTTGACTGAGCATGCTATGTAGACCAGATTGGCTCCGAATCTATGTGCCTCTGCTTCCCCAGTGCTAGGATTAAATAGTGTGTCATCATGACTGGTCAATTCTGTTTTAAAACTGAAGATCAGATAAAACTGAAAATGCTATTCTGAATATACAAGTTCCCTAGCTTTGTCCATAAGTGAAATCTGAATTTCATAATGCAAAGGGTCCATGTTAAGTTTCTTGTGGCTGTGCAAAATACCAGACAGAGTTTAATAGTGGCAGTGAGTACCTGTAGTCAACGTGCCTGAGTTAAGGTGGATGAAGGAAGAAGACTAAAGAAACAACAGAAACATTCATTCTGACCTGTGTCGCCTGTGGTGAGGCAGCAGGTTAAGGCACTGACAAAGGAAAGCTGCTTGTATCACTGTGGCCAGGAAGCAGAGGAAAGCGCCAGGATCCAATACTCCAGCAAGAGCACCCTCAATGACCTCAGCCCCCTCCCCTCCCCATTCTACACTTACTGAGGAATACCCCTATCAACTTGGGATCAAGCTTTTAACATACTTGAACACTTAGGATCTAAACCATAACAGGGCATTTCGAATGACAACTTACACCAGGTAGGTCTGAACCAGGAGGCACAATTCTGCTTTGACTTAGCTTTGAGTCCACATGGTTTAACCTTAATGCTGGGACAAGAGAAGTTACTTTTTAAAGGTAAAATACGAATCTACATAAACTTGTATAAGTGAATCAGAAGGCATGGAAGATGACTGTGCACAGAGCTGATAAGTTTGCTCTCAACACTGTGTAAACTGGGCTTTTTTAGGACTTTTGTGTTTCACTGAAACCCCATTTCACATTGTGAACTTTAAAGTAGAAAGAAGCATGTTCTGAACTTATGATCAGAGTTAAGTTGGTCCCCACTATAACCCACCATCAAACAAGTAGCTGGAAACTGCATCTAATAAGAAACTCTGGCCTGCCATGTAGGATATCTATCTGGTGCAATGATCCTACCAGGAAGTTTACCCCACCCACATGCCTCTCTCATCAGTGACTCCAGTGGTCTCAGTGGCTTCTTGATCACAAACCTCTGAAGTCATCTTTTACTATTCTGTTCTAACTCATTTGTTTTCTTAGACTAACTCCACATCCACTTCTAGCAACCTAAGCCAAGCTCCCAGCATCCTTCACCTGCGCTGGGAAGCATAGCCAATCAATCACCCTCCAACTCCGCAATTCTCCAGATGCCAGAGTGATGCTTTCAAAATACAAGTATGATCCTGTCACTCTTCTGTTGAAAACATCACCAGAAAACACCATTGGATCTCATGATGACAATCCCCGCCCCTTGATTCGGATGCTGCAGACATCTTTTGCTGCAGGGCCTTCCCCTGGCTGCTTGCTTTGCTTATGTGTTCTTCTGCACCTGACTTGGCTTGGTTGTTTGTATCCTCATCTGTTTAAGTAGCCCAGGCTGGCCAGAACTTAGAATCCTTCCATTTAGCCATTGCAGTGCCAGGCAGCTCAGTGTGACTCAGCTTCAAGTATTTTGTCGAGTATCTCACTGTGTGGCGGGTTTCCCTAGGCAGTCTCGTTATTCAGCATTATTTCTCTCTATATAATTTATAACCTCTTGGAAGAATGTGACTTATTTCTCTATAAGAATACAATCAATTCAAAGGAAGTAATTTTGTTTTATTCACTGCTATATCCCAGTACCTAAAATACTTAAATGTTTGATGATCAAACGAACATGACAAATGGCTGAATGTGAAATGTCTTATGAGCTCAGGTCTCGCTAGAAAAGGCAAATTAAAGATGAAGTGGGATCATATGACAAGAACAGATCCGCTGTGAACAGCAACATCATGGCCACATGACTTCTCTTATGAGTGGAACTCCAGGCTATAAGTCACAGCTCAGTAATCCGTTGATCTCAGACATGTCTTCGGCATGTACAAAGAAAACAAATATCCCCAAGTCTGTCCAAATGCCTTTATGCTCACTTTTATAAAGGTCGTGGATGGTTATCACATTTAAATATTTAAGATGCTTCTGAAAAAGTTTGCAGGAGAAAATATATAAAAATAGAATATACAAAGTTCTTCATTAAAATAGTATATTAATCTACTAAAAGCAGAGCCAGTGGCTGGATCCCGACATTATGGGCTTTGGGATTTTGAGGCAATCACATGGCCACACTGCAGTCGTCCCCAAAGGAAGAGATGGTAGAGACTCAGGTGCAGTCAAGAAGCCATCCTCCAGCTACAACTTCTACCTGGGGTTTAAAAAATAGCGGAGGATTGTCCACAACACAGCTCTTCGTTCTATTTGCCTTTCTTGGCCTTGGCTGTTTTTTCTTTTCTTTTTTTCACATGTTTAGGGATTTTACTTTTCCTCTTCTCTCTCTGGGCTTCCTTGACCATCTTTTTTCTTTCCTGTAAAAAGCAAACAACACACTCCCAACAAATTTCATTCACTCAAAGTATTTAAACTATTATTAGAACTGAATTAAAATTCTTACTTTAATAGGATAAAAGTAAATGTAGCATAAAAATAGCAATTACAGGTTGGTGAAACTTGGGGTACAACTTTTCTTTGAGGCACCTTCCATCTCACTTCATTCCCAACCCCCACCCCAAAATCTCTGCCTTCTTCCCTCCCTCAAGACAGTCTTACTTTGTTGTCCAGACTTTTATTACACATACACACCCCTCCGCTTCTCAAGTGCTGGAATGATAGGTATCTGTCTTCATATGCAGATTATTTTTCTGTCTGTCTGTACCCCCTACCCCCCATCGTAGCCCCAACCCATCTACCACTAAACTACATCCTGATCCTTAAACTCTGCTGAAATTGCAGAGTCAAATCAATATCCCTGTATGTTAGTTACTTGAGGTTCACAAGCCCCATATTTTAAAAGAAATAAAGATTAGACAGAAACAAGTATTTGCTTCTAGTAGGCAGACATCACATGTCATCTGTGCGATTCTGAAGAAGCCCCTAATAGCAGCCAACTCTAATTTACTCCAAAAGTAAAGTTCACATTTAGTTATGAAAACTACAATTAAAGGCACTAATAACCTCCTTTGGAGATAACCCATACCTTTAATCCCAGCAATTGGGAGGCAGAGGCAGGTCTGTGAGTTCTAGGCCAGTCTGGTCTACAAAGTGAGTTCCAGGATACCCAGGGCCACACAGAGAAACCTTGTCTCGGAAAACAACCAAGGCATTATTGATGCTTCAAAGTCACTACCCTCAAAAAAAAAGAAAAAAATGAAGATCTTAACCAACCTTTTTATCAACGTCAGGGTCAGCAGTGTGTTTCTTGCGTTGGGCTTTATCTCCCTGCTCTTCGGAGTCTGTGTCAGAGCACTCGGAACTTCCAGCACCTTCTGAATCACAAGTCTCTTCCTTAACTTCACTTTCTAGGAGTGCAGGGACCTTGAAATTATTATAGAACCATGTTACTTGGAGACAGTTACTTATCTATTTGTTAGTCAACATGTTAATGCCACCATTTTACATCAGTATGTCAGATACACTGTACAGTCATACACCAAAACATCCAGATAGCAGAATCAACATTAGGGAGAAAGACAGACAACATCCATTCGCTCCAGTAGGACTCAAGAACATACACAAATAAAGGTTCTAGCACGGGTGTTCAGTCTTCTGACACTGTAACATGATGCTACCATCCACAAATGTGTGGGGCTATCTATATTCACCGCTATCCTGGCATGCAGGTGGTCCACTGCCAAAGGCTGGGCACATGCCTGATTACTAGGATTACACAGATGATCTAAATCAACAACGTAAGTCTGCTGCTGCTTTTAGCAAGCCAGATGCTGAGTTGTGATTTAGAAAGGACGTGAGGCAAATAATAATGATGATGATGATGATAACAGCAATGATAATAATAAAGATCTAGCTGGGTGACTTCAGAGCTGCTTTTCTATGAACCACATTAGTAGCAATAAGCTAATCTAATAAATGAATAGTCAACCAAGAGAAAGCTTCATTATCCCTGAAATTTACATTTATTTCACTTTTTTCTTGTTCAAAACAGAATCTCATCACATAGTCAAGGATAAACTTAAACTTTCCATTTTCTTGTCTTAGAGGTAAGTGGGTGAGTGATGGTGACTAAGCACAGGTCCTCTGGAAAACCAGCAAGAGCTCTTAACTGCTGAGCCATCTCCCCAGCCCTGACAATTTTCAAAACTGATTATAAAAACTATCCAAAAAAGGTGTATGGTGATCAGTATTACCCCACACAAATGCAGATCAGGATTAAGGTCAAATATTTCACTTTTGTTTGTTTGTTTTTTGGTTTTTCGAGACAGGGTTTCTCTGCAGCTTTGGAGCCTGTCCTGGAACTAGCTCTTGTAGACCAAGCTGGCCTAGATTTTTCACTTTCAACAGAAGAATTCAGAGCCAAAAAAAAAAGGCTCATTTTCAAATTTAATTCTAATACCACTTTACAGTAAGTTTTGTATCTTTTAAAAATAGCTTCCATAGCCTGGCAAGATGGCTCATCAGGTAGCCTGACAATCTAGTTGGATCCCAAAGACCTAGGAGGTAGGGAGAATCAACTCCCTAAAGTTGTCTTCCGGCTACCCACCACACACATGCTGTGGCATACTCGTGAGCACATGCACTAAAACAATGGGTTATAAAGCAGTAATTACACATATTCTCCATACCTTCTGGACTCCTGACAAATCTTTTTTCAATCCCGTGACAGTCTGGTATAGAATCTTGTTTAAAAAGAAAAAAAAGGAAAAAAATTAAATATAAAAATTAACAATGATTGATATGCACATTTAAACACTGTCTCCTGTGATTCGGAGAACGTACTCTAAATCGATCACATAGTTATATAGAAAGTAGCCAGCATGGGTCTTGTGTGCCAACCACGCATGCCCACGGGCCCAATACAATCTATGTCTAATAGTTTTTAGATGAGCTCACAACCCAACAGGTGGCAGCAAACACTAACTTTGAACTTTATTTGGTGAAATGTTACCCATCCACAAATAGCCCTACTCAACTCCCATTAGTATATCTACATGTAAAAGTTATAGTGATTACTAAAAGATGGCTCGGTGGTTAAGAGTGCAAGCTGCTCAATCATAAGTACCAGAATTAGGATCCCAGCACCTATATCCAATGGCTCAGAGAGTAACAAGGGCCAACACCCTCTTCTGGCCTGAATGCATACACAGATGTGTACAGTGGATCACATAGACACATTTAATTAATTAATTAATTTTTCGATGTGCGTATAGGCCAGAGAGCTAGTTCAGCAGACAAAGGCACCTGCCATGAAAGCCTGACTACACCCCTCAGGAGTCAAAGGTGGAGAGAGTGATTTGACAAAGCTGCCCCCTGACCTTCCTACAGGCACCATGGCATGTGTGTGCTCACACACATAATAATAAATTTTTTTAAAATACTTTTGTTTCATGCAATGAAAATCTGGTGACCACTTCTTATGTCTTTATATAAAGGCTTACATAAACAGCTGAGTTTTTCTACATGGCTGCAAAGGCTCAAGGGTTTACTTTCTGGTATGCTAACAAAAAATACTTCAAGGAGACTGGAGAGATGCACAGGGGCTAAGAACTTGTTCTGCTCGTGTAGAGGACTCAAGTTTGCTTCCCAGCACCTATGTGGGAAGGTTTACAACCCCTTCTTAACTCCAGCTTCAGGAACCTAACACCTCTGGCTTCCAAGGACACCGCATTCATTCATGTGCACATATCCCCCACCACATACACACATAATTTTAAATTAATCTAAATTTTAAATTAATCTAAATATTTTATAACCCCAAATTAAAATGAAGCATAGCGTATCAATGTACTGCAGCCATTTTTATCCTAGACTTCTTGTGAATCTATCGTTTTACTAATTATAGTTCTCTGAACACATGAAAATGCATCACCCCCTCTTAAATTTAGAAGTATTCCCTTTACAGCCACTGGGTATGGAAGCATGTTTATACACAGGGAGCTGACCATCTCACTAGCACCAAGCCAGGATCAAGCTCGGGACAGTCTCTTTTGTTAGAACTGGCTCTATAGACAAACCAAGCTACTCACATTATCTTGTTGAGTATTCAAAGCCATGTCTTCTTCCTTCAACCTCATCATTATATCCACATCCCTCTCATAATTTTTCACTTCATTCAAGGTTCTGGGAATATATGCTTGCTTGAACACCTAATAGACAAAAGCAAAATTAAACTATTATTCCTTTACTCCTGAATTCCTTCAGTATCCTTAGCTCTATCAATCATGCAGAAATCTGTATTTCATCTCCAACACTGACTTTCAGTCAACTTGTGTTCACACTGGTGTTGTGTGCTATTGGTAAGCTAAAAATGATTTGATAAAATAAAAATAAAATTTTACAATTAATCTTAGAAAAAGAGTCTATTCCAGATGACCTTTAGAATAACATTCCTCCCATACATTCTAATTTCAAAAAGCATCTTCTGAGAGGAAGGACAGGATGGAGTTACAGTTAGCAAGAACTGCCTGCCTGTTAGCAACTGAATACACACCCAGATTCTTACTATGTAGGGCATCACCACCCAGCTGCTACAAAACTTCTGAGTGAAATAAACTACAATTAAAATAATAAATATAGTAATAATAAGCCTACTGTGGATCTTAATAAAAATGTCTTGACTTCTTAGGACTAGTTTGATTTTATTTTTTAACGAAGTATCAATATTTAAAGTCTGTTATATTTATAGAATCAGTAAGTAAGTCATTTAAAAATTCATACTTGCAAATTAAGTCTTTTCCTTCTTGACTCTCACACCCCACAAGCTCTTTTCCAAACTTTACCTAAACAACAGGCTGAGTGCAACAATATAACTGAATGTAAATTATATACCATGTACCTATAAAATCAAGTTCATGCCTTACCAACGAAAACAAAACCATGCAAAACACTGTAATCCAAGAATTAGCTGGGAATGATGGCACATACCTGCCATTCTATCAATCAGGCAGCTGAAGCAGAATGAGTGTGTGTTTGAGGCCAGCCTGTACTACATAAGAAGCTAAGACAAGCTCTAGATTTATATAAAAAGACCCTGTCCAAACATATGACAGAACACCTCACAATTCCACAGTAAACCCAAATATTCCCCCAAGGCTGTGGATACATAATAAACTCCACCTCTTCGTCCACTTGATCTTGGCTAGTCTTTTCTTCCTTGGTCCTTTGGGATGCTATTTCCATGGCCTTTGAGAAAAAGCAAAAAATTATTTTCCTTTACCCTCAACCTAGAAAAGACACATTTTCTATTTTGTAATGAACTATTTTTTTAATCTTAATAGGTGTCATGTCTTCACACTTCTGAAAGTACTTAAAGCGAGCGTCTACAATGTAGGTTGGCTCTCTACTAAAGACTTGCCAGTCATTTAAAAAGAAACAATAAATCTTTCTAGTCTCAAGATATCTTCAGTCCCCTTCTTCAGGATCAACACTGCGGTGCAGCTCAGTCGTGAAGCACTAGCCTAGGCTATCCGAAGCTCCACATCCCAGTACCGGCATCACTCATACCCACACCCAACTCATGGCCAAGACAACTAGGAAACAAAGCTTTTTATAAACTTAATAAAGAGAAAAACTGAGACCCAATAATGAATCATTTCTCCTTTTTCTGTTTCTTGGTTTTTCAAGAAAGGGTTTCTCTGTGTAGCCTTGGCTGACCTCAAACTCAGAGATTCGCCTTCCAAGTGCTGGGATTAAAGGTATGTGACACCTCTGATGGCATGAACCACTTCTTGATTCTTGAAAAGTCAGTGAAATGAATCGCAAGGAAGCTAACTATGTGGACCTAATGCCAGTACAATATAAATCACCAAAAAAGCCCCTTGGGCAAACACTGACTGAAACACACATGTAGCATACAATCACACAAATATACATATATACATGTAAATAAAAATGAAAAATTTTAAACTTAAAAAAAAAAGGACAAACAGTATGCGATTGCACTTATTAGCAGTATCAAGAGTAGCTCAATGACACCAGAATGGTAGTTTTCAGGAGCTGAGGGCGGGGGAGCACAGGTTCAGTATTTGATGATTTAAAAAAGTGCTGAAGATGGAAAACTAATGGTTTGCACAGTACTCAATGCTTAGTACTTAATGTCATGTATATTTTGCCACACGACCTGGCAGTTTTCTTACTAACATTTATGAAGTTGACAATCTCTGTAATCCTGCCAGCCAGTTGTGTAAAGTCAAGAAACCTGGCATTACTGACATCTTTGCTGTTTCTAATCTCACTGTGAGATGAGAAGTGCTAACAAGTTCTGGAATGAATAATTACACTAAGCAACCCGAATCCCTCAGATGTGTGCACAAAGGCAAGCCATACTTCCTCCTCTCCTCAACCCAGCCTACCTTTTCGAGATAAGCATCCATGTTCTCAGGGGTGATGGAAGGGTCCGTGACAAACTCGAAGAGCTCCCGAACAGTCATCACAGCGACAGCATATTTGAAAAAGAAATCTGTCAGAAGAAAAAACATTAGTGACAGCTCTGCAAGGGGAATAGTTACTACTCCAACTAGTGACAGGAAAAGAAAGAAGTATACACCGTCTCCAGCCAATGGTCTAAGTGGTACTGCACTGGACAATTAACAGGACTTGTTTGTCAGTGCTGGGGATCAAATACTAAGTCTTCCACATGAGAGGCAAGCACAGTGTTCTAATGCCAGACTACATTCCCACTCCGAGTGACAAGACCTGATCCTATGCACGCACGCATAGATGCTATCAGGAAATCCCACTTCTACTCACCATTGACATTCGCACAGTCTTTTCTCAAGAACTCCAATGCATGTGGGTGATCATGCTCCACAGACTGAGAAACATCAATGATGTACACATTGCCACCATGGTACCTTGTAGGCAATAAGAACAAGGTTACAAGTTACTATTTTTGTTTTTTGGGTTTTTTTTTTTTTTTTAAATCTATTCTGAAGCTGGTTGTGGTGCACACACTGGAAGAATTTGCTGAAGGAGACAAAGCTGAGAAGATCAGGCCAGAATTCAATGCTAACCTAGGCTACACATTTTTAGGTTGTAGTACACACACCCAACACTTTTTTTAAAATTAATTTATTTATTTATTATATTTACAATGTTTTGTCCACATGTATACCTGCCTGCCAGAAGAGGCACCAGATCTCATAGATGGTTGTGAGCCACCATGTGGTTGCTGGGAACTGAACTCAGGACCTCTGGAAGAGCAGTCAGTGCTCTTAACCTCTGAACCATCTCTCTGGCCCCACACCCAGCACTTTAATCCCAACACTCGTAAGGAGGTAGAGTTCGAGGCCAGCCTGATCTACAAAGTGAGTTCTAGTACAGCCAAGCTATTTAGAGAGACCCTGTCTCCAAAAAAGAAAAAATAAAGCCTCAGCTTCACAAGTGATGACATTATAGGCATGCACTACCATGCATCTGGTTTAAAAAAAAAAAAAAACAACATCCACCTTAAGTAATTCATAATGACTACAGCAGGTAAGAAAGGGCTATCTTGACTAAAAAAAGATAAAAACTAAGAAAATTTCAAAGCGCATTATTAAGTCAGCTAAAAGCGCACCACCTCCGCTGACACCCTGTAGTGCTGGTGATGAAATCCAACACCCCCCATACACAAACTAGACACTTGTTCTACCAACCAAGCTACAACCTCAGTCCTTCCCAGTGGTCTACTCTGTGACTAAAGTGACTGAAGACAGTGACCACATCTTAATTCCTGCCATGGGAAACCAACAGGGTACAGCATGACTTTATCGATTTGGACTTTTTGAAGGACATGCCATAATGAAGGGGAGATTTCCAGGAAGCAAACCACACTCACAGCATGTTGAATTCACTGAGATCCGCATGGACAAGTCTAGCGTCCTGATACATTTTCCTCATGTACTGAATGACCTGCAGGTACAACTCCCGGGCTTTCGATTCTGACAAATGGACATTTTTCAAAAGTGGTGCAGGCCTCAAGTAAAAAAAAAAAAAAAAGACAATAAAATTATCAAGATCAAGTTTTCTTGCCTCATTCTACAGTTACATGCACCTCTTAGTGTAATTTGTCATGTGAATTGACTATGGAGTAATGGATACCACTCCAAAACACTGGCAATTATAGGTATTTTCCAGCATTTTTTTTTTAATAAACTAAACAACCCTCAAAAACAAGGTTAACTTTGTTATTCTGATGAAGTACTGAGAAGCTTCACAATGGTAAATCTTAACAGTTACGTGCACACAGTAGGAAAGACTCCTGGAAGAACTATGGGAAATACATAGCTCAAAGAACTTAAAATACAGTTTCACCATGAAATTCTTTGACCTTCCATATACTTACATGTCATCTTTGCCAATGAAGCCCATGAGAAGAACATGACTTTTTAGCTTGATTGGTTCAGGACATGGTATGTTTGCTGTTGTTAGCCTGTGACGTAGATAAAAGGAAAACTGCAAAGTCAAAAGACATGTAAGCAAATTACAGCAGCTACAGACGTGGCATGAATACTCCGTTAGCAAACAGTTCCCAGTCCTCTCAACTAGATCGCTTTCATAATCCAGTGGTTTTCAGTGGCAGTATGGTGTGCCACCAAGAACATCAAAACACTGATAAACAATTAAATCCCTGAACCTGTGACACCCAATCCATTTCTAGAAATGTTAAACTGTGAAAAAAAAGTACATCTTAGAATTGATAAGACATAGCAATTATGTCAACAATTATCTCTTGAGTTTACTCATCTCAAAAATAAAATCACTGGACACACGCCTGGTGGTTAACTGGGAGACAGGAAGATTTCAAGGGACTTCCAAAACAAATGGTACCAGCTTAACAGCAAATTACACTTGTATATAACAATTAAAAAATGCTACTCCTTTCTAGCATTCTCACAACCTTTGAAAAAACTAGGCAAGTGTCCTTTTTAACTGTAGTTACGGCAAAATGACGACATGAATGTGTCCCAAACTGGACTAAGTAAGAAAAGCAAGTGATTAGCCAAAGAGCTTAGGGCCTGATAATCAAGTTAAAATTGCTATAATGTTTTTTTTTAAATATTTATTTATTTATATAATGTTCTGTCTGTATGCCTGCAGGCCAGAAGAGGGCGCCAGACCTCATTACAGATGGTTGTGAGCCACCATGTGGTTGCTGGGAATTGAACTCAGGACCTTTGGAAGAACAGGCAATGCTCTTAACCACTGAGCCATCTCTCCAGCCCTGCTATAATGTTTTTATATGACAGAATTATCATCACCCTGTCACTAACTGTCTGAACTCTACACACTTCCGCATGGCTTCAGACTCTTCAGACAGCAGAATCCTTCTGCTTAGTTAAGCATATGGAATAGAGACTCCATGGTCTAATGACTCCCCCTCAGTTTGGAAAGGGGAGGACACAGATACACAGACAGGCACAGCCAAGCACGTGCACCCCCTCCAACCCATGCACCACCACGCACCTGTTTAAGTTCCTCATTTCCTTCTCTGCCCATGTCTTCACCATTTTTCTAGGGTTTCCTTTACAATAGCCACGACGAAATCTGGAGCGAGAAAGCGTGTGTTACTTTAACCACTGCATTATACTATTTTAGCACTTGAGGAAAAAGCAATTCAAGAACCTGGACTCACCTAAATTCTCCAGTTACATACTTATCACGATCTTTGAACACCAAAATAGAAGTTTTGTATATTTTGATTGCTCTGCTCTCTCCACTGTGTGTGGTAGCATAGTATACATTAGCCTATTTTAAACAAAAACAAAGGAAATGAAGCATGTGTTAAATAACTAATGTCAGTTTTCCGGTTGATTCTAACCTCAAAAACAAACTGAAACAACATCTGCATCACTGCCATCTCTGGAAGATGTGAATTAAAATATAAAACACTGTATCACAATAACTATGCCTCTGGCATACATTCATACGACAACCTATTATGTTCTGGTCAATGATGGGCCCCATATACCAGAGGGGTTCCATAAGATTGCATTACCTATAATGATGTCATAGACATCTTAGGTTTTCTACTACATAAAACTGCTTAATGACTCATTTCTCTGAATGTAAACTATTGTTACATGAGGCATACTGCATATAGAAAAGTCCAATTTCAATGTAACTGGTTTTACACATTTATCTCTAATAAAAATTTTTTACATCTAATTAATTCCCACAGAATGAACTGCTAATTATGATGGTTTGAACGAAGAATGACCTCTGTACACTCATCAATTTGAACACTGGTCCCATTGATGGTGCTGGCTGTGGAGCTTCTGGAACTTTTAGGAAGCTGATATAACACAACAGGAGGAAGAATGTTGCCGGAGGCAAGTTTTGAGGATTAGCAGCCTGGGCCCACTTCTAGTTCTCTGCTTCCCGTTCGTTACCTGCCACGCCTCCTCCCTGCCATTAAGGACTCTAATCCTCTGGAACCCTAAACCAAAATAAACTTTCTTCCTTAAGATGTTTTTGATTATGGATTTTATCATAGCAACAGAAAAGTAACTAATATATTGTTTTTTAAAAGTCACACTTATCTTTTTCTGGACTTACAAATAAAGGAACATGAAAGACTGGCTCATAGTAATCAATCAACAACTTTCATTCATTAATAGCAATATTAAAGGGAACTCAGGACCACTGTCATCTTTGAAAATTGAAGCTCACTGCTGAGCACAGACTCAGTGATACAATACAGCGATCAGGGTAAGGTACACAAACATTTTCATATCAACTAAATATCAAGCAACATAATTTCTAGAAACATTGTTAATAAACTATCTGGTGTGTGTAGCCTTCTTTATTTTTTGAGACAAGATTTCTCTCTGTAGCTCCAATTGGCCTGGAATTTGCTATGTATACCATGCTACCCTGGAACTCACAGAGATCTACCTGCCTCTGTCTCTTGAGTAATGGGATCAAAGGTGTATGTCACATTGCCCAGCTTTCCTTTCTTTTTAAAGGCACAAATTAAAAGTTCCTTAGTTTTCCTTGGTATTTGAAATACAAAAACTAATATGAAAACACTGCCATCCTAACACAAGCTTACTTCTTTTCCGGTGCTAATACAGCCATGTATCTCTTCTATGTCTTCTTTATCCAACATCTTGAATAAAATCATTCTTGTCCTGGGATCCAAAACCTAAAAAGAAAAGGTTTTTTTGGTTTGTTTTTAAGTACAGTCATGAAAACAAATCAGACAAAATAAATTATAGGACAATAAAAGTACATACCCAGGGTGATCAAGGTGGTACAGTGAAAGGTACCTGCCACCCAGAACCCAGCCACATAAAGGTGGAGGGATGGAACCAACCCCAGCAGTTGCCCTACGACCTCCACACAGACACCATTGCACAGAGACGGCCTCTCCCATCATGCACATACACACATTTCAGTTTGGTTTCTGTTGCTGTGATTAAACACTATGACCCAGACAACTTAGGGAGAAAAAGGTTTATCTCATCTTACACTTCCAGAAAACAGTTTACCGCTGAGGAAAATCAGGACAGGAACGCGACGTAAGAACTAAGGCAGAAACCATGGAGGAAAGAAAGCTGCTCACTGGCTTGCTTTCCAAAGTTTGTCCAGCTTGCTTGTTTATACAACCCAGGATTACTTATTCAGGGGTGGCACCATCCACAGCGGGCTGGCAAACAGACTTGCCTACAAAGCCAACCTGATGGAGGTTCCCTTTTCCCAGGTGACTCTAGTTTGTAGCAAGTGAAGAAAAAAACTAACCAGCACAACATACAACAAGTAGCTAACATTATAAATAGCTCTTTCACGTCCAATGATTCTTCAGTTCCACGAACTGGTTCTAGACTGCAGGTTAGCCTTTACTTCCTTGGGGGTACAGGACAGAGGGGTGCTTATATCTTAAGTCAAGAAGCTACAGGTCAAGAAGTTGCTATGTCAGATTGTGGAAAGGTACATAAACATATGGGTAGAAGAGAGCCCAAGTAGGGAGCAATTATAATAATCTCAACCTTTTTTTAAAAATAATTTTCTTCACATCAAAAATCTAAATCAGGAGATATATACTGTTAATCCCAGCACTCAGGAGGCAAGAAGCTGGCATCATATCTCTGTGAGTTTGAGGGTATCATAGTCTAAATAACAAGTTTCAGGCCAGCAAGGACTACAGGGAGTATCTGTCTGTGTCTGTCTCTCTGTCTGTGTCTTTCTGTTTCTCTGTCTCTGTCTCTCTCTCGCTGTCACACACACACACACACACACACACACACACACACACACACGAGAGAAAGTTTCAATCACATCCTGCTGGCCATAAGAAATTAGGGACTAGCACCCCACCCCTTCCAAAGAATAAAGCACATGTAAGAAAGAGGTCTCTAGTTAGAAATTTGAAGGTATTGCTCCCCCCACCCCATCTATATATGCCCCAGATGCATGGCAGGTAGGTACTCAACCTATTTCACAACAGATATCCAACCTATTTAGTGGAAAAGAGAATACAATTCCTATAGATGCTGCTTCAAAAGATTCTGGTCTGATAGTCTCTGCTTTCCAAGCCTCTGAAAAGGGGGAAGCATTGCATAGTAGCTTCAAGGGTTATGGAAGGACCATGGCTCTCTTTATCCACTAGGGGTCCTATTATACAGCAAAATGTTCATCACTAAACTTGAAACTGTTTACTCAGGGGTCATTTTAGGTGAGATTAACACCAAGCAAGGAAGGTGACAACAAGACACAATTCAGAGAACAAAGGAATGCTAACTTCAAACAAGACCACACAGCACATACCTGTTCTACGGTTGCTCTGTCGGACTTATCCTTAATGCGATACCTAAGCAAAAACAAAAACAGTCAAAACTCAGTGAGAAGTTAGAATGAGACTTCTAAATGGACACGATTCTGTGACAATTCTTAAGGAATTTTTCGTAAAAATTTTTCCTCCTAACTTGATATAAACACTTCACTCAGTAAAACTCTTTCTGAGCACATGAGTCAATTTTCCTTAGCAGGCATGCGCAATCTTTTGTTATTTTTTTTCATTTTAAAGTTTTTATTTTTTTCCATTTATTATTCTCATGTGTGAATGAAGTGTAGATAAGAGATTGCCACCCTGCATATGGTGGTCAGAAGATAAGTTTGGGAGTTAGATCCCTCCTTCCACCCTCAGGGACCAAACTCTGGTTGTAAGTTTGCATGACAAGCACTTTTATGGCCCCCTCTCCCCACCATCTCCCAGGACTTCTGATATTTCCACAGGACATGTCATCTACAAAGCTCACTCAAGAACCATGCAATCAAGAAATAATAAATCTCATGTTTTAAATCCAGTTTATAATTTTCTGTTGGACCTTTTCATTTTTATCCTTAGTCACATACACTCACATAGAGCCTACAGGTTAGATATGTGTGCATATAATCCGCACACACAAATATATGTGCATATATAATGTTATATATGTAATATATATTTCACATATGCATACAGAGGAAAAGGGGGATGGGAGGGAGAAAGAGGAGAAGACATAAAGAAGAGGAAGAGGAGAGGGAATAAGAATTTGTGAGTAGGGGGCTGGAGAGATGGCTCAGTGGTTAAGAGCACTGCCTGCTCTTCCAAAGATCCTGAGTTCAATTCCCAGCAACCACATGGTGGCTCACAACCATCTGTAATGAGGTCTGGTGCCCTCTTCTGGCCTGAAGGCACACCTTCAGACAGAATACTGAGAATACTGTATACATAATAAATAAATAAAATTTTGAAAAAAAAAAAAAAAAAGAATTTGTGAGTAGCCAGGCAGTGGCGGCACACGCCTTTAATCCCAGCATTCGGGAGGCAGAGGCAGGTGATCTCCGTGAGTTTGAGGCCAGCCTGGTCTACAGAGCTAATTCTAGCACAGGCTCCAAAGCTACAGAGAAACCCTGTCTCAGAAAAAAAAAAAAAAATGAGATTTACAAAAGCATATGCTAATAAATGAGAGCACATAAACATCCTTTGCAGATCAACTGTACTACTCAGTCAAGAAATCAGGCTTCACCAACCATGCTTTTCATGAAAACATTACTTACGATTCTGCTTCTTTTTGTCTAGATTTCACGGTGACTTTATTTATGACAGAATCAGTAATATTCAGTTTATCTAAAAATACAAAAAAAATACAATGTAAATAATACAAAAGACAAAAATAGTTTCTAAGCAAGATACTTCCCCCTCTACCTTCCCCTTTCTATATAGTTTCTTAATAGAATTAAAATATATTTTACTTATGAGACAACAAATTAAGATATTGTCTTCACAGTGATTACTTACAGCACTATAAATGTGATTTTTGAGTCAGAATTCTAAAGTTCCAGATATCGACATAGCATTGGATCTACATATTAAATCTCAGATACTTATATTTTGTACAGTATAAATAATACAAATATCTGAATTCAAAGTTTAACTCTAAAAACTTCAGTTTCTTTTCAAGTTAGAGGCACATCACAATTGTGAAATACTTATGTAATCTGATATTTATAGAGTGTACATGAGAGACACTGGGTAGGTTTAGAGTCAAGATGGCACAAGGAGAAAATGAAGGCCTTGCACTGTTAAAGCAATATAGTTCAAACTGGGCTGGCTTTCAACTAAACAATTAACACCATCATAAAGTCTCTAACCAAACAAAATAGCATTTTTAGGCTGTCTAATAAAAAAATCGAATGCAAAACAGGCAAGAATTGTAATGAGTATCTGAAATTTCATATTCCTACCACAACAGATAAAAAAAATGAAAAGAAAATATGAATTAAGATATTTTCAGTCACTAAAAGTTTCTTTTCTTCATTCAGCTCTATCACGAAGTTGAATACATTTACTTCTTGAGCCAACAGTACTTGGAAAAATCTCTTCATAGCCCAATTATGTAATGTTTGTTTATTTTTTTTTTTTGAGACAAGGTTTCTCTGTATAGTTCTGGCTGTTCTGGAACTCGCTCTGTGGTCCAGGCTTGCCTCAAATTCAGACATCCGCCTGCCTCTGCCTCCCGACTGCTGGAATTAAAGACATGCACCACCATTCCCCAGCTAGGCAATGTGTCTTTTAAGAACTTACTTAGATTGATTTTATTTTCAAATTTTTGCAAGGACTTGTCAATTGGAGTAGACATTTTGGCAGAATTGTAGTTAGAAGTCTGACGATTTGCCTATAAGAAATTAGTTTAAAATAGGATTAGTTATAAATTCAAGCCTAAGATTCATAATTACACGTGTTCTAAACCGCTAAGTCATCTCTTCAGCCCCTTTAACTTTTAAAATAACTTTTGGCCTTGGGAATATAGATTAGTAGTACAATACTTGCCCTTGGTTTGATCCCTACCACCACAATAAGTAAAATTCAACTGGTGTTTCCTATCATATACATGTCTGACTAACTGATCTGATTTTTGTCATGCTGGGATGCATGGCAGACAAGTGTTCCAACAATGCACTGTTAGTATTCAGGCATCTGTACTGGGGTCCTTAGGGTCCTGATAAATACATCCTCAGCTGCAGCCACTAAGAACACCTCTACCTCCCGTCTCTGTCTCTCTCTTCTGCCAGGAATTGGTCTCTACTCCCCCCGCTGCCCCCTTATCTCTCCTCTTCCAATAAACTCCTATGTGTATGTGAGCGATGGCATTTCTCCTTCCCACCATTTTAAAATAAATTATAACATGCACTGCACACCCAACACAATTTAATTGCTATAATCATCAGCAACCAAAAGTAACAGCTAACATTCAGCATGCATACATATCACAATTGAAGCCGAAATTACCTGAAATTTCAAAGAAAAGATAAAGTAGTGATGGAGGAAGGTCTTTGGTTAATGAAGAAACTGTTTGGCCTGATAGGTTAGAACATAGGTGGGTGGAGTAAACAGAACAGAATGCTGGGAGGAAGAGAAAGTGAGGCAGATGCCATGCCTCTCCTCTCGAGGGCAGACATGACGAAGCTCCAGCCCAAGATGGACATAAGCTAGAATCTTCCTGGCGGGTCACCACCTCGTGGTGCTACACACATTAATGGAGGTGGGTTGATAATGATGTGAGAGTTGGCCAGTAGGGGGCTGGAGCTAATGGGCCAAGCAGTGTTTAAATGAATACAATTTGTAAGTTGTTATTTCAGGGCATAAGCTAGGCAGGCGGCTGGGAGCCAGGTGGCAGGAATGCAGCCCGAAGCAAAGTAGAGAACTAAAGAGGAAGATATCTGCCCCCCCCCCACACACACATGCATGCAAACACACACACACAATATAAGCAGATTCACAGAATGACTTCCATACCTGAGGGTTACTGCCTCCATTCCCGGTACAACCCTTGGTGAGTTTTCCAGTTCCATCATCCCAGTACCAATCACTGTCATATTCATAGCTGTCTTCCTCGTCGATCTCACCCTCATCCTTTACCTCTGTCACATCATTCTGAAGGTTTTGAAGTACTGTGTCGTCTTTTGCTTGAATTGACTTCACTTCCATGCTTTCACTAGACATAAGAATGTTCTGGCATATTTATACATTCTCTAAGGAGAAAACCATACACATACATACAGTCCTAAAGATTCCCTTACATGCTGGGCAATGGTGGCACATGGCATATGCCTTTAATCCCAGCACTCAGGAGGCAGAGGCAAGCAATCTAGTGAGTTCAAGGCCAACCTGGTCTATAGAGTGAATTTCAGGACAGGCTTATAAGCTACACAGAGAAACCCTGTCGCAAAAGAGTCCCTTACATTTCCTAATCTGTTTCATCTTCTTCATCTTTTTTTTTCTTTTTTTATTCCTTTTCTGAGACAGGGATTCTCTGTGTAGCCCCAGCTGTGCTGGAACTTTGTAGGAGATCCTCCTGTCTCTGCCTCCTAAATGCTGGAATTAAAGGAGTGCACCACTACACCCAGAACCAGGTTCAATTTTTATAAAACGTTGTGCATCCCAAACAAAACACATCCACCACCAAATTCAAAACAATTGTAACCAGCTTTGACCTCTCATGCAAAGAGCAGGTCAGTCATCACATAAAACAACTAATACTATGCACTAGTTAAAGACATGGTGTGTAGTTCAGCATCACACAATACAGCAGGAACAATACCGACATCAGCGTGGGTTTCTGGCAAGGATGGCATGCAAAGTTAGTGAACTGATATCCCCACTCCTTTTCTTAAAAGACTAGTGTCTCATCATGTAGCCAGGACCTGGAACTTGCTATGTAGACCAGGCTAGGCTTGAACTCAAAGATCTACCTGCCTCTGCCTTCCTAGTGCTGGGATTAAAGATGTGTATCACGTCATCTGACCATAAAAATAGCCATTTCCCCCCTAGTTCTGAGGACTGAACCCAGAGCTATGTCCTTTCTAGGCAAGTTCTCTAGATCATAGAGCTAAATCCCCAGTTTTTCCTTCCCACTCCCAAGTTATTTATTTATTTATCTATTTATTTATCTATTTATCTATTTATCTATCTATCTATCTATCTATCTATCTATCTATCTATTTATTTATTTATGGCTCTGGCTGGCCTGAAGCAAACAATGTAGGCAGGACTGGCCTTGAATTCACAGAGATCCACTGCCTCTGCTTCCAGGGTGCTGAGATTGAAGGCACTGTCACCAAACCTGGCCCCTTGTATTTTTTTAAAAGAAATAAATTCAGTTATCAATTCCAATGTATTAATTGGCTACAGCTCACTGGGCTTCAAATGCCAATGGGCATGAGTAGGAAAAAGCGAGACAATCATTTTAAATAACTGCAACTTACTAGGACTTCATTTACGTATAAAACACAAACGACTCCTTCACTTAGCCAATCTAATAACCTAGAATGGTATTTAAAGTCACTACTGTGCAAATGATCCTGGTGTCCTCAGTCCCGACTAGGCAATCCTCTGCTGTGAGAATGTCTTGCACAGATAGCACTGCCAGGCTCTACCTACCTTCAGATGCCACTAGTATAACCCACCCCCAGCCCAGGTGTGACATACAAAAATGTGTCTGGAGATTGCCATGTCTCTGTGGCACAGTGGCAGAATCCAGTCTCCCAGCGGATAGCAGGTACGCGGTACCCCACCAACACCATTACACACTGACCAGTAAAGCAGGCTGTTTCTTCTTCCCACTAAAACTCTTCAGCAAGAATTCCTACGAGAGGATCTAGAACCAGAAGACTGGAGCTCTTTAATTTCTCTTGCTAACCCCCACACATCCTCTACTAACTTACTATATGTTACTGTTTACTCCTTTCTCCTTTGCAATATTCACCATTTAATTTTAACACAAATAATTTGCCTTTTTTTTTTTTTTTTTTTTGGTTTTTCGAGACAGGGTTTCTCTGTGGCTTTGGAGTCTGTCCTGGAACTAGCTCGGTAGACCAGGCTGGTCTCGAACTCACAGAGATCCACCTGGCTCTGCCTCCCAAGTGCTGGGATTAAAGGTGTGTGCCATCATCGCCCGGCAATTTGCCTCATTATTAATACCAGCTTCCCATAACCTTCTTTGTCAATCAAAATGGTAGCTAACACTAGATATGACACACAGCCTAGTCCATATATATTTATCAATATCACTATTAATTGATGGATAATATCTACATGACATAAAATACACAAAATTCTTTGTTGCTTCAAAATGACTACATTTAATTTTTTTTCTTTTTAATGGGAAGTTTTCCCTCACTGCTTTCATCAGATCACACATTCAACTTAACCACAAAACCTCGACACTGCTACCGCAAAATCATCCTATGGCCACAGCTCTAGGAGCCATCATGTTTGAGCCTGGGTTTTTTTTGTTTGTTTGTTTGAATTCATTCTCTGTTCTAGTCTGTTTGTTTGTTTGTTTGTTTGTTTTCGAGACAGGGTTTTTCTGTAGCTTTGGAGCCTGTCCTGGAACTTGCTCTGTAGACCAGGCTGGCCTCGAACTCACAGAGATCCGCCCGCCTCTGCCTCCCGAGTGCTGGGATTAAAGGTGTGTGCCACCAACGTCCAGCTCCCAAGAATATCTTTTATGTAACTGATCAGTTCCATTAATTCATAAATCAATTGACTCCCTGGATCTGCTAAAAAGCTTTCCTCTGGCCTTATAAAACCTGAACAGTCAGTATCTCAACTCCTCTCCGGCACCTGTGAGGCTCTACCTGGCCTGTCTCCCTTCGGCCTCAGTTCTCCCCGTTGCCCTCTAGGGTTTTGTTTTTTACAGTCAAGAGGAATCCACTACAGGGCCTTCACTTGGCCACTTGGCAACAAACGTTGTTTCTCCTCTGCTTCTTCGAGTCATTTAATCTAGACTCTTTTTCTGTGTGTGTGGTTTTAGTATTGGAGATGGAATCAGAGCCCCATCTGTTAGACGAGCGGTCTCCCGAGCTATTAAACCTGGCTCTTTCCTGCCGAAGGCATCCGTCCCATTGAAACCATCTGCGTCTGCTCTCCCTTCCAAACAGACAGCAGAGACTTGGTTTGTCTTGTTCAGTGGAGGCAAAAGTCTGCTCTGTCTATGTGGAACCCTGTGTGTAAGGGGCGGGGGAGCCCTACGATTCTCAATTATCCCCAACTCTGCTTCTCTGTTCATCATTCTGGGAACCCAGGCGCCCTCCCTTGACAAGAAGTTTTCACGCCCTGCCCAGCTGTAAGGACAGACCCTGAGGAAACCACAGTCCCGACCCGTCAGGTGTCAGCTCCCCGAGGGGACTGCGGAGCCTAAGGAGTCCGTGTGTGGTCTCCGGCCGCCTACCTGTCGGACGCATCCGCGTCGTCAAACTGCCCGGGCACCACCGCGACCATCCTATCCCGACTGCAGTCCATGGCGAGAGAGGCGGCCGCGAGCGGAAGAGACGGCTTTTCACCTGGCGAACCCAACGGCGTCTCCGCGAGTCCCGCCTCACACAAATCGCTCGACCACCGCCAGGCACAAAACAGCAACCAAGCGCCGCGGAGACACAGCTTTTATAAAGCTCAATGCCGGAAGTTCAGGGGCGGAAGCAGTCACACGCAGTTCCTCTCCCTGCCGTACCGCCCTCCAGGAGCAAGTGCTTTACGGTGGCTCGGAATGGCCAATCCGCGTTGTGAAGTGGGCGTGTTTCATTGATGGTAGGAGAGGGCGTGTGGCGGCGGTTCTTCCCCACCCTCTTTTTCTGGCTCCGCCACGGCGTTTCCAGCTTCAGAAAGTCAGGCCTCTTATCCCCCGGCTGCTCCTGAAGACTCGCGTCCTCTGATCTCCTTCCTCCGGACTGCAGCGAGGTCCAGAGGACGTCACACTGGGACGTTCGAGCTCTCGGCGACACAGCCAGCTGGAGGCTGCCCTCGAAGGGGACGGTTGGAAGGTGGTCTCCCTCCCGCGGACCCCGTGTGCCGGAGGAAACCCGGAATTCTCAGCCTGGGGCCGAGAAGCACTATGGATCATGGAAGTGAGCACACTTTTGCGCCCTAGAAACGTTGGTGCGTTGTTTTGAGATGCAAATGGGACAAATGGGTTTGGCTTTGTTTTTAGGTTGGTGTTACTCCACTGAAGTACTAAGTTCAAAATTTTACATTTGGCAGGAATGTAACTCTCGTGAGCTTTCTCGCTACTTTTTTTATTATTATTTTGTTGTTGTTTAAATGGTATGTAGAACCGCTCGCGAGCGCGTCTGTATGCGAGCGCACGTGCGAAGGTCAGAGAATGATTTTTGGGAGCCTTCGCTCTTTCCACCTTGGGCTCCAGGAACCAAATCCAGGTCGTCAGCGCTGTTCCGTCCGCGTTTAGCCCTCTTGCAGGCCCTTACTGCAAATCTCAAACCGGCGCGGGGCCTGGTGTGGGGGATGTGAGCGCACGCCTTTAATCCCAGCAGAGGCAGAGGAATCTGAGTTTGAAACCATCCTTGTCTACAGAACGAGTTCCAAGACAACCAGGGCTACACAGAGAAACCCTCTCTCGAAAAATCCAATCCCCCACACACACAACCAAAAACAAAAAAGACTTTAAATATAACGACTAACTGAACATTGAATAAGTATTTTTAAAAGTGAAAGATGGAAATTTTTTTTTGAGTAAATTGGCAGATTATACAGAGTTATAGGAGGCATGAACAAACCTAAAAACGTAGTGGGAACAGATGGCCTAGTGGTTAAGAACATGGGAGTTCATTTCCCAGCACCCAATTGGGTGGGCCACTCACAACTACTGAAACTCCAGTTCCAGGGGAGTTACCTAATTTTTTTTAAAGTGTAATTGCAAGTCACAGGTCCATGGAAAAGAGAAACCTTTTACATCTGGAAAACGTCTTAAGGATTTTCACATCCCTGTCATCAATGCCCAGGTAGAATTTATTTGCAAGACAGGAAAGGTGAGCAGAAGGTGGAGTCTTTCATACTTGACCACGTGATGACATCGATTTGAAAACATCTTCAGTAAATTAAATAATTAACAAAGTCATTCAGACCAGGCGGTGGTGGTGCATGCCTTTAATCCCAGCCCTCGGGAGGCAGAGGCAGGTGATCTCTGTGAGTTCGAGACCAGCCTGGTCTACAAGAGCTAGTTCCAGGACAGGCTCCAAAGCTACAGAGAAACCTGTCTCCAAAAACAAAACAAACAAACAAACAAAAAAGCCCAAAGTCATTCATGCAAATAGGTACTACTGTAAGCTTACTAACTGTAAGACAATCTGATAATAAGTCACTAGAATGTAGGATATTTTTCAGTTGTCGTTTAACTGTGTAGGCCAGAGTTTCTTAACTGAGGATCATGGCCCCATATGGGAGTCGGCATGTGGGGTCATGATAAATTCTTGAAATTCTTGACACCCAAAAGATTGATTCATAATAAAATGTGTAATGAGCCGGGCAGTGGTGGCACACGCCTTTAATCCCAGCACGTGGGAGGCAGAGGCAGGGGGATCTCTATGAGTTCTAGGCCAGCCTGGCCAACAAGAGCTAGTTCCAGGATAGGCACCAAAGCTACAGAGAAACCCTGTCTTGAAAAACCAAATAAATAAATAAACTGTGTAATGAATCTGCTGATTGTCTGGCAATGTTCACCTGTGATAACATCCCACAGCTTGTATTGTGCATGCCATTATACCAAGCCACAGCAGCAAACACTGCCTGAAATACCTCCCTTCAGATGTGTTAGGAACTAACATGTTAGGAACTGCAGGGGTTTATGTACATGCAATTTTCTGGTCTTACAGAAATAATCGTTTCATTGCGGAAAACAGACTTAATATTTTCCTACTGGCATTCCTCAGCATACAAATAGCAAAGCATTTGGATGGTATTATGTCAGATAAATGTCTGATTAATATGTAAACTTGCTTTCCTATTTAACAAGTGGTAAAATTAACTTGTATACAAAAATTGTTTTAAAATAAATGTCTGTATGATTTGTCATGGGTGTTTTATTTACATGTAATTTCACAGAAAAGATTGTGAGTGGAAAAGGTTTTTAAAAGCCCAGTCTAATCTACCCCCACTTGATGTAGAAAGAGGAAATTATAATACAAAGATTAGGGGCTAAGAAGGTGGGCTCAGCAGTTGTTACAAACTGTCATATGTGGTATGTATATAATACATATGTAGTACATACTACTCTTACAAAGGACCCGAGTTTGGTTCTTGGCACCCAACTTCCTGTAACTCTAGCTCTAGGGAGTCTGACACCTCTGGCCTCCAAGGACACGTTGAATCCCAGGCACAGATCCACACAGAGATTCAAACACATATACATTATTAAAAATCTTTAAGAATAAAAGGAAAGTTAGTGGGGGCAGAGAAAGAGGAGGGCAGACATAAGACTAACACTGGCCTGTTTATGGTAGGAAGTATTGAAAAGCTGTAAATAGCCAGGTGGTGGTAGTACCTTTAATCCCAGCCCTCGGGAGGCAGAGGCAGGTGGATCTCTGTGAGTTTGAGGCCAGCCTGGTCTACAGAGCGAGTTCCAGGACAGGCTCCAAAAGCTACACGGAGAAACCCTGTCTCAACTAAACAAAAACAAAAAACAAAGCAAAAAAAAAATTAAATTTCAACGCTAGTTTTTTGAAACAACAGGTGTGGTGTGGAAAACCTGTACAGTGTTGAATTTGATTTAGTGTAGTGAAGGAGAAGGCATTGAGCAGAAAGGTGGTATTTTATGAAAACATAGAAGTTTCTGATAGTATTTTTGAAATAATAGACTCCTTCACTTTGTAGAACATTATTGGATAGACACTACATACATTGGCTTCTTTTGGCCAAATCACTATTTATTGCAATACTAAATCAGAAAAATGACATTTTAAGCTGGGCTTTGGTGGCACATGCCTTTAATCCCAGCACTCGAGAGGCACAAGAGGCAGACACAGGTGGATCTCTGTGAGTTCGAGGCCATCCTGGTCTACAACCCTGGTCCTTTGAAAGAGCAGCCAGTGCTCTAAACCTCTGAGCCATCTCTCCAGCCCCCCTCTTTGTTGCTTTCTTGTTGTGAAGAGGGGTAAAGAAAGTCTCTTCACGTACTGATTGACACTAAAAGCGTGTCTTTTTGTTTGCTTGTTTTGAAGACGCCGTCCATCATTTGGCAGTTAGAAATAAGGACTCTCAAAAGTTTTGGTCATCATCCCTGGCAGTGCAAAAACAAGGGGAAAGTTCTTGCCGCCATCCTCAGATCCTGTACATTTTGAAGTGGAGACTTTCCATGAAAATTTAGAAAGCATGTCAGAATGGGAAACAATAGATGTTTGTGGGCCTCCTCAAGACGTCTCCTACTCAGACTCACTCTTCTGTGTAGAAGCTAGCTCGATCGCGTCAGATTGGCCTCAGGTGTGCACTCTGCAGTAATAAGTTTGAGGAGATCGCTCAGATTGCTCTCATGTGAACATTTTTTTCAAAGGTATGAGGGATGGTAAAAGATGTCCAGTGGGCACAGAAAAAGGGGCATGCAGGACCTGGTTTTCTTATCTTGGGGTACAAAAGGTAGTACAGTGTTACAGACACAGTGCTAAGACGGAGCCTTCCTGCTCATAAAGTTCCAGGCATGCAGCTAGGGGACACGTTTCCAGCTCAGTCAAATATAGGTATCCCTTGGAGGCCAGAAAAGGGCACCAGATCCACTGGAACTGGAGTTAGATGCAGCTGTGAGCGGCCCAGTGTGGGTAGTAGGAACTGAACTTGGGTCCTCTGGAAGAGCATCAAGTGCTCCTAAGCAGTTACTAAACCATCTTTCCAGCCCTTCAGAGAAAAAAAAAAAAAAAAAAAAAAA